AGAAAACTCTGGATGATGAAATTAATCAAAATGAGGGAGTGAGGAAGGTGAGTAAAGAGAGGTGAAAACCCTAAAATGGATGGCTAAGATTAAAGTTCAAGGAAGGGTTGGATTAAAGATAATAAAAATATTATATATTTATTATAAATATATATATATATATATATATATATTATTAAATAAGTCTAATTCGGGTTGGGTTGGGTCAACCCGAATTTTTAAAGGGCTAACTCGAGACCCGACCCAATCCGGTCGGGTTGGGAATTTTCCAACCCAACCCAAATCGAGGTTTAATTAAACCCAATCCAACTCAAGGGTTAGATTGGATTCGTTGGATTCGTCGGGTTGTCGGGTTTTTTGAACAACCCTGAAGTGGGAGGAGTAGGTGGAGGATGACAGATGAATAGTAAGCGTGAAACAAACCAGACGATTTGCAAAATTTAACCTTTCTTTTTATTTTCTTTTCCAATTTTCGAACCGGTTAGTTCGATTTATCGGTTGGGTCGGTTTTGAACAACTCGAATCTGGACAAGAATGAAGAACCGCATTAAATTTGATGCCGTCTACGGCAGGTCGCCGGATTCGCAAGCCTCAGCCAGAGACTGCTGCAATTTGAACTCGACTATTTCCTGCCCAACGCCGTCCAACCCTGCAAAAGCCGCACCATTTACAGATAAGAATCGGGACAATTCGCTTTGCTTATACCAGAGCAGGAGCTTAAAGGAACACCACCCATATTTTGTAAGTTTCAATTCGTTTCCATTTGTTCGTTGTTAATTTTGTGTTGAACTGGCTCTTTCTCTTCCCAATAAGATAGTTGCGTGGATTTTGTTGGGTCAAAAAAAAATTTTTTTTGGAGCTTATTTTGTTCGACCATTTGGACATTTATTTGGTTTACTCTCTGTGAATCTACAAGCTGTTAAGAGGTATGAAATAAATAGAAAATGCAACGAAAGAATTAAGGAGCATTGAAATTACGATGAAGGGTTGAGCCAGTGTATGAATTGTTTCTTCCTTTGGGTTTGGTCATGTTGATATTCTCTTAGGATTAAATAAAAACATCATAATGGACACTGGAACTGCAGGAAACAGCTAAATTTTTCTGAAGTAGAAAATGAATTGACAACATTTGTCTAAGTGAGTTGAGTTTCTGTGAACCCGATGCCTTTATATTGGCAATCTACAGAACTAAACTTTAACAAGGTAAATTAATTAGATGGCTAAGACAGTTAGCTGCTAACTAAACATCCAATACAGAATACCGTCTTAGATATTCATGTAACTAAAGATAACGATTACCTTTGTTATGTTTATGCAGTCAAATGAAGCGTGTTCGAGAAGATTTGCATAATTGGCTTAACTATTTGACCATCTAGTGTGAAGACCGTAGCTCTTTATTTTATCTAGCCAATGGACTGCAGAGACAATAAAGTACCGCCTCAAGGTTTCCATTTTATCGTTATTTGTCCCAAGCCCTAATTTATTTTAGTTTCCCAATTATAAGAATAAAAGTAGCATTCCCATTGAACTAATTATTTATGAAAAATGCAGGTGAAACTGTTCAGATTCTAGTTGAATTCTTGGAGGTGGCCATTACATCTATTGTCTTCCTCAAAGGCATTTACCCTTCTGGTGAAACCCTTTCTTTAATCTATGCCTTTTTTGTCGCTATTAGCTGCTTTATTTCCTTGAAAGAATGTTGATTACATGAAGTTTACTTCGTTGTATTTCTACCAAGTAGCTAAGAAACATCGGTTTATGAGTGTGTTACTTTCCAAAGGAAACAAAAGTAACATGAATTTTTATTAATACGTTCACCTGTAAGATTGGTCTTTTATCCCCCACCTCATAAGCACAGGGAAAAAAGATAATCAGTAATCGAGATTAATGAATAAAGAACAGAAAGAAAAGTTAGGAATTGTGGCTAATTATTTGTGGGGTTTATGTGAAGGTGCTTTTGAAAGAAGAAGGTACATGAATGCGGTGGTTCAGATGGCTCGTCATCCTGAGCTGCAGGATTACATCCACTCAACTGTTTCAGGGCTAGTGCCTTTCATCCAAAAGGTTGATTATTCACTTGTATTCTTGTCCTCCATCTGCTAAAGATGGTCCTAAATTTATTGACATCCATGTGCCATTTAAAGTTGAAACCAGGTCCTTTTATCAAGGACAGTCTTGAACAGTGGATTATTTCTTTCACATGGCTACTTCTTGTCTGGTTTTTGGAAGAGTGGGAGTTGTTTATGATTGGAACTATTGAAGGAAACTATTCGGTTTTGTAGTTGTGAATATTAGATGTAAAGATTTAATTGGGTACTTAGTAGTTAGTTCCAAGGCTATAATCTACAATGGGTTGATTATTTACTGGTATTCTCGCAATGTAGGACAACCTGTGTTTACAAATGTAATTTCATTAGTTGAATCTTGAACCGAGAAAAGTTCATCGAAAACATAAAGTAGGTGTCTAGGTGATGGAGTTGCAGTATGATATATCCAACTTGAATTCATCTCAGAGAAATGGTAGTATTTTTAATAATTATAGAAGTATGGAACTTTGATTGATTAACTACTTCCTTAGGGCATATGCAGCAGTATCTAACTGTTGCATTTCAGCCTTACTTGGAGAGTCTGAGCATAAAGTGTTTGAAGGTTCTGCATAAGATCCATGATTAATTTTTATTTTCAGGAAGTCCTGTTTTTGTTTTCTATTAGGTAAATGAAGTTTCGGCATTCTTTCTAATATATTTGTCATAGTTCCTTTCTCTTCATGGAATAATGCATTATTGTCTTCCATTTCTGAGCAGATGTGTTCTAGTGTCCTTGCTTGGTTTTTCCCAAACTTTTCCTTCATAAACATGTAACTAATAAATCTCTGACGCTAAAAGAAAATTAAAGAAATAACAATAAATGTTGTGAATAATTCTTCATGCAATTTACTGAGAAGTCTAAACGGGAGTTTCCTCCACAACTAGGGGCTGGTAGAGAGAGTGGCAGTTATATTCTTCAACGGTGAAAATATCCCAGTGGAAAGTTTTATTTTCAAGCTCATGGTGAACCAGTCTTATGAGTCAAAGGTCGAGGATTCCGATCTAGAGTTTGCCTTAAGATCATTCTTGATCAAGCTCTCTGTCTCTGGACCTTTAACCAAGGTTCTTCCTCCTGGTAAGAGCTTAGTTCACTAATCTTGCTAGCTGTTTCCATACTTCAATCCATAGGAATCTCTGCATCTGCTGCATTTTGGCTTTTATGTCATAAAATATTGGAGGAACTCTGCAAGTTCATTTATCTTTGTATATAACAGATTGCAGATGGGAAATAACTGCCTACTTCAAAATGCTCCCAAGTTCCAGCACAAGTAAGGATGCAGAGTTATGGATTCCAACGGATACAAAGCAATGGCAACAACCACCAGTAATCACCCCCATCAAGTCTATGAACAGCCAACCTCTGAGTTTGCAGTTATATCTAGAACATCCTAGCTTATCTGAGCCAAAACCTTGAAGAGGGACAGGGAGGATTACTGTGAAAAGATTTTGCCTAGATTTTTCAAATGGAAGGCTTCTTCAGCTTGTATTTTAGATCATGTGGAGTCTCCTACAACAATTGTTCCTTTAGCACATGGGTTTGGATGAAGGTGACATAAACTTGAATTCCAGGTCACATATGAGGATTCAAGTAAGAGATCTGAAAACATATGTCAGAACCCAGAAACCATTGTGTAAGAATGGTTGACAAGGTTGGGTCCATTATGAGGCAGAAGTTGGAGTTAGATCTGATGCAGTGAAAAGAAAAAGGGGTTGCTGTTGCTGTTTGTTTGGTAGATTAATGAGAGACATCATGGGGTTGGGGTTCGAGGGTGGATCCCAGGTTGTCAGGCCTGCTGCTGCTCCTGTGGCTGTCTTCATTCATGATGGCAATGACATAACTTCCATCCCACTCTCTTTTCTTTTTTTTAGCTGAGATGTAATGAGTGAAAATCAGAGATGAATATGGATTCTCTGAAACCTTTCAGACTCTCGGAGAATAGTAATAGTAATAATATGCTGACACTTCCTTTTCTCTTCTCCACCTACCCGTCCAATTTATCCACGAATCGTGTAGTAAAATGAGTTCCATCTTAAAATCAATTGACAATGAGAAGAATAGTTCAGGTCTACTATAAATCTTTATAATGTTCTTTTTCTTTTCAACATGAGATTTTCAACATGTCCTCTCAAGATCGTGGTTTTTTAAGCTCATCCAAACTTGGGTTGGATCCGATTTTTGGATTAGATGCTTGTTTGAGCTTTTGGACTCTGATACTATAATAATATTTATAGGGTTTCATCTCAAAATCAATTGGCAACGAGAGGTGTACTCCATGTTAAATATAAATGTTTGTAAGGTCCTTAGCCGTCTTGATTCTTATAAATTGGTCAAACCTCACAAATCAGCATTACTATATTGAATGCGTTATACGTTTTTCGTTGACGTAATGCTTTGCTGGTTAAATTTGTTGGCGCTAAATATAAGAAATGGTAGATACTAAATTAGAAGTTCTAAAACTATAGAAACCAGATTAAAATACTAGGCTAAAACAGTAAAGAGACAAGACCTCTTATATCGAAAAAGTAAGAAAGTCAAGTGCAACGACTAAATTAATCTTAGACCATCTAATCTTGAATTCAATACCAAACCCGATACATTTGACTCGAAATAATAACCAAAAAAATTTGTTACGTGTAGAAATAAACGAAGATAATGTTGAAAAATGAGAAGCTAAGATAAGACGAAAACAGTTGAAAATAAATGAGAGTTGAATAGAGAAAGATTATTGTCCAAGCATGGGATGGAAGAGGAATTGTGTCTTTATTGACTGTTATAGAATAGAAATACAAGTGGGTTGTGAATTCAAATGACAAATAATGAGGGTTCTTATGCAAATGGGACCAATCTCCTCATCCAAATGATGACCCAATTCTCCACAGCCAATCCAATGCATTTCTACATTGATTGATTGTACCAAACTTTGTTCCTCCATTAATTCCCTCTTTCTTTTTTCTCTTACTATTATTCAAAATGAGACTCTGCAATTTTCTTGTTCTGTCACCTTCAACTTTCACACGTCTCCATCCACTATTATAAAATAGCCATTCCAAAAAAAGATGAATAAGTAACAAATATAATACATTGTATTCTTCGTCACATTTCCTTTGAGTGGACCATTTGATCTATCCGAAAGCAAAGTTTCAATAACTCAAAAATGGGGGGTTTTTCTTTTCTTGGAGGGGCCAAGAAGATTAAGAATCCAATTTCTGTATCAAACACATTTTGAGCAAAAGCCATCCACTAAAGAGCATGAAAAAAGTCTGTCACTTTCATAAAAGATTGGGGTGAAAAATTAAAATGTTGCCACTTGGGTCATGATCATTAATGGGTGAGGAGGAAATTTAAAACTTGGTGCTTACATTTTCAGACACACAACTATTCTAGTTTCCTATCTCAATTTTTGAAATGTATTACTGCACATACACTACTACTCTTTTTTTTTTTTAATAACTAAATAGTGGTCAATCGGAACCAATGTAAATAGCAAAAGACTTAGAGGGAATGAATTCAAACCATGGTGGTCACCTACCTTGGATTTAATGTCCTACGAGTTTCCTTATAAACCAAATATAGTAGGATCAGGCGGTTGGCCGGTGAATAGTCGAGGTGCACGCAAGATGGCCCAAACACACGGTTATAAAAAAAAATAACCGGAAGCCGGAGTTTTGCTTCCCTATACCCAGGAGTACTCGCACACGTCCAAAGTCCCGGACCTCGTAGACATCAAATGTTTTTCGGTATTAGTCAATATGGTCAAGAGACTTAAAGCCCTTGTCAACTGGACTAAATAATTAATAAACCATCACTCAACCCAAAAGTTTAAACTGATGGGTTGGGTAAATTTGAAGGAAACAATAATGCAGTAGTTCAGACATAGAACCTCCCGCTTTGATACCATGATGTTAATGATAAATAAACCACCACTTAATCCAAAAGTTTCTCTTCAGAGGTGCACCTATACTACCCTATTAGATTCGAGTAAATTTGATAAGACTTACTGCAACTTTGTAAAGTTATTGCCTTTTATTAGAAGTGCTTAAAATCGCTATTCACACAGCACGTTTTCACTCAAACTTTTCCTTAAAAAAAAAGAAAGTAGATAAGTGCTTTTTCATAACAGCTCCGAAATAGGAGTCGTTGGGGGGTAATATTTCAACGACATGATTGAGGAGTTTGATTATGATATCAAAATGGGTATAAAGAATTAATGAGTTTCTCTTCCCTTAAACTTTAGACTTACTCCACCCAATATTAGAATTCCAAGCAAGGTGATGAATTTCCATGGAAAAAAGTAGAGTGTGATGGGAAGGACAAACATTGAAATTCCCACATATACAAATAAAGGAGGCAAAAGAAAAAGGGAAATCAAAATCAAAATCAAAATCAAAATGGTGTAAGATATGATTCCTAGGTGAGTGGTTCGTGCAGGGTTTGCTTTTGATGGTGGGATTCTTATCTTCAGCCACCATTTTTCTTTGTTTCTAAAATGCCCAAAATCCACCATTCTCAAAAATTATCTTACATTACACATCAACATCTTAATTACATTACATGTTCAAAAATTATTAGCCCCTAATTCCTAATCATTCCAACAATATCAAGTCGTATACTTTGAGAACAATTCGCAAGGGAATCCCCAATGTATTAGAAGATGGACCAAAATCAAAGGACTGAAATAGAATTAGCTGGATTCCTACCTTAAATGAGTTGTATCAATCGTCCGAACATAGGTCAATTAATAAAGAATCTATTACCTTGCTTTAAAGTTGAAGGTAAGTACTTTGATTTGATCAATTCAGTTACGCTCATGTTGGTGCTCGAATATTCAACTGATCAATATTAATTTTACTTACCTTCCTAATAGTTAGAGGTTCAAATCTCTCTCTTTTAGTAGAACTCAAAAACAAATTAATGGGTTATTGAAAGTTTGATCTCCACCAAAATTAAAAAACATATAAATAAAAACTATATGGGTTATGGACATGCCTTATCTGATAGTAAATAGACGAGTATTGAAGAGAAGCATGTTGTATGGGAAACTATAAACTCATAATTAAGACCCATTATTTCTTGTCATTTATTTTGTTACCTACCTTATTAGTTTCTACACGACACTCATCTTGGATCTAGATTCATAACATTTATTATAACGACTTTCTTGTTGGTCTATGTTGATGACATGGAAATTTAGCAAATCCAATCTCATCAACCCTATGCGCGTGATTAGAGAAAAATGTTCGTTTGATTTATGGAAAGTGTGGGACATCTATTGGCGAGATTAACAGATTACCCATTAAGTGATTTTGATACTAAGCGCTCTTGGTTGAGGGTGTAATGAGAATTAAGAAACAACTCGATTGTGATCGACGGCGATAGGGATGTAATGAGAACTAGGGCAATGTGAAAAGCATATATATTGAGCTCCAAAAAGATGGTTTTGTGTGTGTGTGGGGCCTTTGTAAAGAAAGAACAAAAGCAGAAGGGCAAAGACAGTCAATTGGAACTTGGTTGGGTTTGGGTAGGGTTCATCAAGATATTGCCCCCACTTCACTAGAGGGAAATCAAATTTAGTAAAAGATTTTTCTTTAGTGAAGATAGATAGATGATAATATCATGATATGATATATGATGGCCCCCATGGCCATGAATCATGTCTCCCAATTGTTAAAATGACAATGTTGCCTTTGTCTTCCATAAGTCTTCTTTATTGGGAAATGCATCATATCATATCATCCTCTTGACATCTACATAGTGGAATCATCCATAAAAGTCATTAATACATGCTCTTTATTTCTTTTCTTTATTGGACTTTTGCTTCTTTTTTTTTTAGTTTCACATTTATCTCGTCTCGCGCATCAATCTGAACCTCTTTGTCCCGATATTTCGAAAAGAAAGGTGCACCTTGAGTCCTTCCAACATACTTTGTCCTTATTGTAAAGCAACTAGGAGGTCACCTCACCTACTATCAATTCTTTTAAACGTTTCTTGACCATTCTTCCATGATCTCAGAATCTCTCTCATTCGAATATGGTATCGATTCATTCATGTACCCCTCATTTTTAGTCGGGCGTTACATGTCCACCAGCTTCTGTCTCCGAACCACATCGTACTAGAAGAGGTTCCGTTTTGATATCATTCTGTAACGCCACGGACTCAGAATTCAGACCACATTGTACTATGACCAAATCCTAGTCCGAATCTTGGACGCGGAGCATTATATTAAAAGGCTATAAATTTGAATCTCACTGTCATTGCCACATATTATACTAAATAAACAAAGGTAGAGATTTAAATTTCTGAACCAACTTTTTACGTGAATTAGCTATTGAGAAAGGTTGTAGGTAGGTAATTAATTTGATTTCGTATTAGAGTAAAGAACCTTATTATTATTGAGAACATTTAATTTATATATTCGAATCAAAACATCAATTTATTTCAGAAAATAAAAGAGGGAAATTTGGAATGGAAAAAGAAATGCATGGTTCTAAGAAATAGGAAACTAAAACTAGAAATATTTACCTAAAAAGGGGCATGCATTAATTCTAGAAGCCAAAGTGGATAAAGCTGAAATTATTTAGAAATTATAATACCTCTCAATAATTGTCCTCAGTCAAATAATAATAATAATAATAATAATTGTCCTTATTCCCAAAACCTAGCAATAGAATTCAATTATTTTTTAAATATATATTTAATTTCTTCATTAAAACACACATCTACACAGATCATCGTTGAGCATGTTTGTGGTTGAAATAATTTTTAAATGACAAAAGAAAACAATAATAATAATAATAATCACATCAATGAATTTTTTTCCACTGTCAAATAATTAATTCCCTAATTATCTCCTACATATATTTTGATGACACTTCCAAAGTGTAACACACAATAAGATATAATTAAATATGTAATTAATGGGAGGGAAATGATTATGGGTGAGTGTCATCATCCCAATCATACCTTAAAAAAAAAAAGTTGTAGCACCCAATTTTATTTTTAAGAAATAAAAGACTTATCAAATGGACCTTAAAGTAATATATATATATATATATATATATATATATACAAAAAGTCAATGAATTTATAAAAACTTCATATTGTAGATATGTTCAATGCTTGATAACATTAAAAACAAACCCAAAAAAAATTAAATTTAAAGCCTAATTAATAATCAAAGTAGAAGAGTAGTGGAACCATCTAGAAAATATATAATAATTGATGGTTCAAATTTGATATGAATTATTATTAGAATATTTTCTACACGACTACTTTAATTTTTTTTTCCCTTGTCAATAAAGTTTTTTTTCTTTTATTAATATTGGTATAAAATTCAACCTTCAAACAGATGTGTTAACTTCAATAATGAGACAACGACGTTACCTTTTCTTTTTTGTCGTCCTATTATTTACTAAAATTAAAATATAAATATAAAAAAAATTAAGTGAAGCGACGTGTCGGAATTTTATTGGGGTTGCTTGGCCTTCACTTCAGCTACGTAACCAACAAAGCAGAAGAAAATTAGAAGAGACAAATTGCTTACTTTTTTGCAAAATTAATTACGGAAAAATATGTGGAGCTTTCTACAAATTATATTTTATTGGGCATATTTATTAAAAAATTACAGTACATATGTAAATTATTATTCTTGCATAATGTGAAATTGACCTTTTTTTTCTTTTCACAATTTTGAGAACAGGATAATTTTAATGGTATGATTATAAAAGTAGTAACTATTTACATTTTACTATTATAATGATTTTTTTTTTTTGAGAAAAATTATAATGAATTGTTGAAGTATAAGGAATATCAAATTAGATATATCAACAACTCACATGAATGAATCATTAATATTAAATGTTTCTACTGCAAGAATCATGAAAATAATAAATGGATGTGATGTAATAATAATGTGCACAGATTATCATTTAAAAAGTGATTGAAGTATTATAAAAAATAATTAGGAAAATTTTAATGAATAATTCACATCTTCATATTTATTGCAAATAGAACAAAAAGTTATAGATTTTTGTAAATATAGCAAATCTACATGCTAATTTAGACCTTTTTTGATAAGGCGAATTTTGAAATTTTTTTTTTCAACATGTAGGGTAGGAGATCGAACTCACAACCTAATAGTTGAAGGTATTTGTCAATTATCGCTGAGCTAGACTCGTTTTGACAAATTTTTGACATTTTTACTTAATTTTTTTACCCTCGTATGTCATTCATTTAAGTCTCTATAAGTAATATAGCCTACCATCAATAAAGTTTGGTAGCAATGAGCTGAGTTTTTCTTCTTTTTCTTTTCATTTGAAAATCCAAAACATTGTTACTATATTTACAATTAATTAGACTTATTTTGTTCTATATACAACGTATTAGTCAATATTCGATTGATTGGTCACCAGACTTTTTCCTATTTCAGCCGTCAAATCCCAGGGTCCATCCCTGAAACTACCCCTTTGTTAGAGGTATTTTAGAAATCTTTACAATCGAGTAAATATTTCGACGAACAAATTGGTTCTTACCCAGTAAATTTTTTTTATCGAAGTACCTTGATTATTTAAAAAAAAAAAACACTTTTTATACAAACAATTATTGAAAAAAATACACCTCAAACACACATTTAATACATTAAATTATTTGGCATGTATCATTGGTATTATATTTGTTTAACGACCATAGAGAATATACACACATTATATTGAGTACAAATTTTGTCATTTTCGACAATTTTTCTTCTAACTTTTTCTCTCTAAACTCCCCTCCAAATAAAATAAGGGCATCTTCAAAACATAATATAAGTGGGCAAAAAACAATTGATCAAAAGATGGATTGTACACGGCATTGGCCTTATGCCTCAAATTGGTTCACATTTGAATTACAAAAATTGTGTCATTTTCTTAGGCACAATAAACATTTAAATCAAATAGTTGGAAATTATAAATTCCTATTATTGCACTATGGTGTTACATCACGCATTTATATAAATGCAAATATGGCGTTGCTCGACTAGGAAAGGAAAAGTTAGCTATGGATAATGGCCTATAAAGAAGAGATAAAAAGGATGTAAAAATATTTTGAAGAATAAAAGTAGTGCAACTTTAGTTTTAAAATTACAAAGTCCTAATTATTTAATGTTGGCCTGTACTGAGCGCTCCCGTGATCGTATGTATGTATATATATATATATATATATATACATATCAAATTACAAAAGTTGTCTCTTAACTTCTAGAATTATATCTAATAAATTTTTAAATTAAAAAAAAATTCTAATAAACCCATAAACTTTAGACCTGTAAATAGAAAAAAAACATATAATAAGTATCGAACTTTCAATTCTATGGCTTTAAAAAAAACTTTTAATTCTATGGGTAACACATCTTTAAATTTTTTAAAAATTTTAATAGATTAAGGATTTATTAGATATAATTAAAAGTGAAAGACATATTAAACACAAAATTTATATTTAAAGTTTATAGAGTAATAAGATATAATCAAGTTTGAAAGTTGCAATTTAATCTTAAAAGAAAATAAAAGTTAAAAAAGATTAATAGGGATGACAAAATTGTTAATTATATGTATACAAATCCAAAGTAGTAATTGGGACGTTAAAGAATTATATAATTTTTAATTTTAAAAATAAAAAAATGGTAGGTTTGGAGAAAATCATGGTGGAGCCCACAGGAGAGAGAGAGAAAGAATGCCGGTGATAGAAGGGACAAATGGTGGTGGTGGCCCACTTAGAAACACCCCTAAGATCACTTCCTCTTTCTCTGTGGGCCCCTGGTCCCCAAAACGCGACTCCTCAACCAATCCACAACCCTTGGTTTCTTTGTTTGTTTGTTTGGCAACAAGTTTGGACTTTCTTCACATCAAGTATATATATATATTCCTATTCCTGTTCCTATTATCATAAACTTCCACATCTTAATTTCAACAAGAAGAATACTATTTAACATAGGATTCCTATCCTATGCACCTATGCATAGCATAGCTAACACTAATAATTCCTTACGTCTGAAACTCACCAGGTTTTTGCTTTGAATTATTCAACAACTAATTACAAATTTGTAATCTAATACTTACTCCGAAGGAACAGCCTTGGATTACGGGAAAACTCCACGGAGGGATGCCCTTTTTCTCCTTCCTTCCTTCCTTCCTTTCAATACAGAATTAGATTCCCATAAAATATATATATATATATATTTGGGTTAAGTTTTGGAAGCATTAGGAATTGGAATCCGTGTGGTGTGAAAACTGAAAAGTCAGGGCGTGGGCGTGGGCGTGGGCGT